GGGGGGGTAGCGATACGACGGAAAATATTGGGGTACGCCTGGCTAGTATTCCTGCCATCGGCTCCACCATCAGCCCGGAAGCATGTCTCTCTATCTGTGCGGCTGCAGTCGTGCCTTCTACCTTTCGATTGGCTAACGAGAACCCCTTCCTGCTGATCACGATATTTCAGGTCATAATTTTTTGTGAACACATTCTTCTTGGCCGTATGCATATCTGTTGAGATGTCCGCACCACATCTTTCGCTACATGTTGATAAGAGTATCCTTCACTGCTGGTGTTCTACAATCAATGTGGATGCTATCAATATGGCGTCAACGAGCCGACAGGGCCTAGATGCGTCATCCAAGCAATACACAGGAAAGATGGTTCATCCGCCTCGATTTGGAAGGTTGCAGTGCATCGTGTAGATCAACCACAACAATACAATCAAGCGAGTTGTCAAGAGACAATGCGACGTGTTCCTGTGAAGGTAGAATGTACGTACAACACAATATGTAAGGGAGGTGTAATGAAGGTGTGTGGAGGGTGGAGGTACTGCTGCAGACCAGGTAAGTACACAAAGTAGCAGATCTCGGTAACCATGGTCCTATTAAGCTGTAAGTAGCTACGATAGATCATAGCTGTAGCCCATACCTACGTGATGCAGTTGGTTTGAGATCGCTTGGGGCTCTGTGGGTGAAGATCTGCCTGGTGGAGCAACAAGAAGTTTCTCCACTGGTGGAGGCCACCGAAAACATCGGTTGTCCGAAGGGGGCCGCTGACAACGTGAAGAAAACTAAATATTCTCCACCAAACCTAATACTGTTGTAGTAGGGCGGGGTAAATGAGCCACGGGTTACGACTCAAAATCTCACAGTACTTTCTGTCTGAGATGCTGTGCGAGACACGCTGCTTCCAGGCCGCAACCGCACACACGCGCGCGCGGAGCGGTCCGCAATCAATATTTTAAGTAAAATAGAGAACGTGTCCAATATGTATTCGAAGGGATAGTCAAGACGGGACTGGTTGGTGCATCCGCTCCCCCGCTCGAGTGCCAAATGNTCTCACAGTACTTTCTGTCTGAGATGCTGTGCGAGACACGCTGCTTCCAGGCCGCAACCGCACACACGCGCGCGCGGAGCGGTCCGCAATCAATATTTTAAGTAAAATAGAGAACGTGTCCAATATGTATTCGAAGGGATAGTCAAGACGGGACTGGTTGGTGCATCCGCTCCCCCGCTCGAGTGCCAAATGCTGTTCTTGGATTCGCTGTGGCCGGCGACTACAAGTACAACGCCGAAAACTTTCCTTACTCAATCCGTCCATGCCATCCTTGCCCGAAACGTGCAGCTCATCTTTTCTTGCATCATTATGGACACGGCGCAGGAGAATGCTGGAGATGACTTTGATCATTCTGCTTGGGCTCTCCACGTTGTTGGATACCTTCGCAGGTGGGTGGATAGGTTCGTTTGAGCAGCATTGGGCAACACGATCGATGGGTGTGTAAGTTGTACGTGTTACCGCCACGGTCAACTCGGTGGTCAAAACCGTACCACAGCTCTCCAGCGTCGTTCCGTGACACAGCAGGGGCAGACCAGTATGTTGATCCAACCGCTGGCATATAACGCTGTTTCCATTTGCCGATAATAGTAGGCAGGCGGTAGACCGAACAGGGGGGGATTCATTCGCTTGCAAACACAGGATTTACCTCAGGATGTGGTATGATTGCATTACGTTTGTTCACCTCTTCGAGTAGTGAGTAGCCGATTTCCCCGGTGGAGAAGTTGGTGATTGCAAAANCGGTGGTCAAAACCGTACCACAGCTCTCCAGCGTCGTTCCGTGACACAGCAGGGGCAGACCAGTATGTTGATCCAACCGCTGGCATATAACGCTGTTTCCATTTGCCGATAATAGTAGGCAGGCGGTAGACCGAACAGGGGGGGATTCATTCGCTTGCAAACACAGGATTTACCTCAGGATGTGGTATGATTGCATTACGTTTGTTCACCTCTTCGAGTAGTGAGTAGCCGATTTCCCCGGTGGAGAAGTTGGTGATTGCAAAACCACAATCGTGAGCGGCTCCCAATCGCCTTACAGTATCCCCCTGAAGAATTTGTTGACCAGAGTGACCGATTTTTTTGGGATGGTGAAAAGGTTTACGTCGTAGGCCAACGTTGGTGCCGCTGGTGTGTTGGGTCGTTTTCGAACACATTGCCAGCTGCGACATTCGTTCCTGTTTCGGAGGGGTCGATCTCACGCAACAGAGTTTGTCGAATCTTGCGATGCTGTATGTCCTTGCAGCAGTCCTTTGTCGGTGTTCAGACTGCCCTATCAACGGAACCCATCTTCGACCTCGGTGGACCCCTTGATTTGGGGTTTACGATATTTGAACGTTTCCACGTGGATAAAGGAAGGTGTACTGTAGCGTATGGGGCGCGAACGCTATAGCAGCTTCATTTTGACGACACAGCGCTGCTATTGTAGACATACTGCTTTAGGTATGTTTAGAAACCAAAAATCGGAAGCACCTTTCCACCGTTCGGAGAGATGTCAGCTCGATATCGACCCTGCCTGTGCTCGTGTGCTGATGTCATCGGACCTTGTCCTATGCTATGCTCTGTGCCTCGAACCGCCACGGTGGTATTGGTTGTGGAGGCTGCGGTCCATGGTTGATCGACTGGATACGTTAGCGGCTCCCCCGTCATTTCGTATAAGGAGAGCCTGTGGCGTCGATACCAGTTTTTTCGAGCTCGCTTTTTCGTTTGTCTCGTACTCCGGTATCTCTTCTCTATCGTGAAACATCGCAGTGCGCTGCCCTGGTCCGCTGGTCGATTCGGCGAGAGTCATATCTGGTACAGCTACTTACAGTTCTGTGCCAATCTCACCACCCGCCCACTCATCTCCTCTCATCTGCCGTCTGTCCTGCGTACGCCGTTGGTTGCAGTTAATGTATGCCTGGACTCCACCGACGCCGACAGATGTCAAATTGATGCACACGGAAACTTGTGAGCTCCCACCGAATTTTGCGTTATTGCCACGCAAGACCCCGGGCGTGTGTGATGGTGGCTGACAAGGCACCCGTTGATCCTCGGCATGGCTCGTTGCAGCACGGTTGAGTTACCTTGCAGGGTGGGGTTTTGCAATTTCCTCGTTAATGTTCGCTCCAAGATCGGCGGTGTTTATTATTATCTAACCTCCGGTACCCGTTGTTCGGGAAACGTTAACATTGGGCAGTATTGTTGAATTCAGGGCATTGAGCAAGGTATTTATTCACGCATGTTCACGCGCTTCCCGTGAAAAACTCCGCCGCACCTCAAATAGAGCAAGACTTGACGCGCCGTTTGGGTGTGTGCTATGTTATCCCAGGATCCTGGGTTTGTGCGGCACTACAGATGCCGATTTCGACGATCTAGCGTCGTGCTTGGAAGCCGCCGGACCAGAAACAATAACAACCCTGTGAGTGCATCAATCTGCCATAAAGGTGGGTATTGACCGGTTGTTATTTTTGTTGGAAGCGGCCTTTGCAACGTACTCTGCTGATATCCAAGTCGGCTTGAGGCGAGCGTACAGTCGAGCTACACGGTACATTATTGTCACCTCAGCAACAACCAGAGACACCATGGTGCCCATGACCCTTTAAAAATCAACAAGCGCGCCGGAAAGCAGTTGGTAGGATGTTCGGTGTAGAACAGGTCGGGGGTGTCTGAGACCACCTCCAGCCCACGTACCATAGTCTCGCTGCCGTTATGGCGTCTACGCCCAACTGCTGCACTATCTCGGATGCTTGGGGTTGGATAGGTTTGTCTGTGAAACACACGGTTCGGTCGATTTCGATCTGAATGTGCGTTCATTCGGCATTTTGGCCGGTACATTCATCGTATGTAAGCAGGTTTTGAGGTGATAAGAGAGAAAGAGGCGATCTTGGCGTTGCTGGAAACGTGAGCACCCAAGGATCATACCACGTGTCGGGATCAGTTGTCGCTTCCTGACATTCGCCGTAGACCCCTTACATGGTGGTGCCCTGTTGGCCTCATTCCTAGCCTCTTATCCGATTCGCGGTGTACTCAATGCAACCCTGGAACGGGTTCCAGCTGCCAACTCGTCGCCTTCGCTGTAGCCGGAAGCAAGCATGATTGTTGTGATTGTACCCAGCTCATCGCGGCGGCCGCGGCGTTGCTAGCGCCACTGTACTGAAGGACGTCCGTACATGCTGGTGGGCTGACCGCGCTTCGCAGATTACCATGTGTGGTAGCAAGCACTGATTCCTAGCTCATGTGTGTTATCTGCTCCGCTTGTGACCTTCCCTCGACACCCGAAGGTACCTGTACCGCAACGAGCTCACCACGCTGCCTGAGGGCATCTTCGGGGGTCTTACGGCCTTGGAAACACTGTAAGTAGCTGCTCGAAGAGGTTGTCGGGAGAATGTTTTTCCGCATCGGGCTAGCCTGCGATGGAGAACAAAAACATGGCAGACCAATCGTGCCCATGACTCATTTAAACGCCGACGAGCCCGCCTGAATGCAGTTTGTAGGAAGTTCGATGTAGAACAGGTCGGGGGTGTCTGAGACCACCTCCAGCCCACGTACCATAGTCTCACTGCGGTTATGGCATCTACGCCCAACCGCTGCACTATCTCGGATGCTTGGGGTTGGATGGGCTTGTCTGTGAAACACACGGTTCGGTCAATTTCGATCTGAATGTGCATTCATTCGGCATTTTGGCCGGTACATTTATCGTACCATGTAAGCAGGTTTTGAGGTGATAAGAGAGAAAGAGGCGATCTTGGCGTTGCTGGAAACGTGAGCACCCAAGGATCGTACTAGGTGTCGGGATCAGTTGTCGCTTCCTGGCATTCGCCGTAGACCCCTTACATGGTGGTGCCCTGTTGGCCTCATATCCTAGCCTCTTATCCGATTCGCGGTGTACTCAATGCAACCCTGGAACGGGTCCCAACTGCCAACTCGTCGCCTTCGCTGTAGCCGGAAGCAGGCATGATTGTTGTGGTTGTACCCAGCTCACCGCGGCGGCCGCGGCGTTGCTAGCGCCACTGTACTGAAGGGCGTCCGTACATGCTGGTGGGCTGGCCGCGCTTCGTAGATCACCATGTGCGGTAGCAAGCACTGATTCCTAGCTCATGTGTGTTATCTGCTCCGCTCGTGGCCTTACCTCGACACCCGAAGGTACCTGAACATAAACGAGCTCACCACGCTGCCTGAGGGCATCTTCGGGGGTCTTACGGCCTTGGAAACACTGTAAGTAGCTGCTCGAAGAGGTTGTCGGGAGAATGTTTTTCCGCATCGGGCTAGCCTGCGATGGAGAACAATAAGATGGCAGACCAATCGTGCCCATGACTCATTTAAACCCCAACGAGCCCGCCTGAATGCAGTTTGTAGGAAGTTCGGTGTAGAACAGGTCGGGGGTGTTTGACACCACCTCCAGCCCACGTACCATAGTCTCACTGCGGTTATGGCGTCTACGCCCAACCGCTGCACTATCTCGGATGCTTGGGGTTGGATGGGTTTGTCTGTGAAACACACGGTTCGGTCGATTTCGATCTGAATGTGCGTTCATTCGGCATTTTGGCCGGTACATTTATCGTACCATGTAAGCAGGCTTTGAGGTGATAAGAGAGAAAGAGGCGATCTTGGCGTTGCTGGAAACGTGAGCACCCAAGGATCGTACTAGGTGTCGGGATCAGTTGTCGCTTCCTGGCATTCGCCGTAGACCCCTTACATGGTGGTGCCCTGTTGGCCTCATATCCTAGCCTCTTATCCGATTCGCGGTGTACTCAATGCAACCCTGGAACGGGTCCCAACTGCCAACTCGTCGCCTTCGCTGTAGCCGGAAGCAGGCATGATTGTTGTGGTTGTACCCAGCTCATCGCGGCGGCCGCGGCGTTGCTAGCGCCACTGTACTGAAGGGCGTCCGTACATGCTGGTGGGCTGACCGCGCTTCGCAGATTACCATGTGCGGTAGCAAGCACTGATTCCTAGCTCATGTGTGTTATCTGCTCCGCTCGTGGCCTTCCCTCGACACCCGAAGGTACCTGAACATAAACGAGCTCACCACGCTGCCTGAGGGAATCTTCGGGGGTCTTACGGCCTTGCAAACACTGTAAGTAGCTGCTCGAAGAGGTTGTCGGGAGAATGTTTTTCCGCATCGGGCTAGGTTGCGATGGAGAACAAAAACATGGCAGACCAATCGTACCCATGACTCATTCAAACGCCGACGAGCCCGCCTGAATGCAGTTTGTAGGAAGTTCGATGTAGAACAGGTCGGGGGTGTCTGAGACCACCTCCAGCCCACGTACCATAGTCTCACTGCGGTTATGGCATCTACGCCCAACCGCTGCACTATCTCGGATGCTTGGGGTTGGATGGGCTTGTCTGTGAAACACACGGTTCGGTCAATTTCGATCTGAATGTGCATTCATTCGGCATTTTGGCCGGTACATTCATCGTACCATGTAAGCAGGTTTCGAGGTGATAGAGAGAAAGAGGCNTCCTGGAACCGGTTCCAACTGCTCGTCGCCTTCGCTGTAGCCGGAAGCAGGCATGATTGTTGTGGTTGTACCCAGCTCATCGCGGCGGCCGCGGCGTTGCTAGCGCCACTGTACTGAAGGGCGTCCGTACATGCTGGTGGGCTGACCGCGCTTCGCAGATTACCATGTGCGGTAGCAAGCACTGATTCCTAGCTCATGTGTGTTATCTGCTCCGCTCGTGGCCTTACCTCGACACCCGAAGGGACCTGCGCTACAACGAGCTCACCACGCTGCCTGAGGGAATCTTCGGGGGTCTTACGGCCTTGGAAACGCTGTAAGTAGCTGTTCGACAAGGTTGTCGGTAGAATGTTTTCCCGCATCGGGCTAGGTTGCGATGGAGAACAACGAGGCAGACCAACCGTGCCCATGACTCATTTAAACCCCGACGAGCGCGCCGGAAAGCAGTTGGTAGGATGTTCGGTGTAGAACAGGTCGGGGGTGTCTGAGACCACCTCCAGCCCACGTACCATAGTCTCACTGCGGTTATGGCATCTACGCCCAACCGCTGCACTATCTCGGATGCTTGGGGTTGGATGGGCTTGTCTGTGAAACACACGGTTCGGTCAATTTCGATCTGAATGTGCATTCATTCGGCATTTTGGCCGGTACATTTATCGTACCATGTAAGCAGGTTTTGAGGTGATAAGAGAGAAAGAGGCGATCTTGGCGTTGCTGGAAACGTGAGCACCCAAGGATCGTACTAGGTGTCGGGATCAGTTGTCGCTTCCTGGCATTCGCCGTAGACCCCTTACATGGTGGTGCCCTGTTGGCCGCATATCCTAGCCTCTTATCCGATTCGCGGTGTACTCAATGCAACCCTGGAACGGGTCCCAACTGCCAACTCGTCGCCTTCGCTGTAGCCGGAAGCAGGCACGATTGTTGTGGTTGTACCCAGCTCACCGCGGCGGCCGCGGCGTTGCCAGCGCCACTGTATTGAAGGGCGTCCGTACATGCTGGTGGGCTGGCCGCGCTTCGTAGATCACCATGTGCGGTAGCAAGCACTGATTCCTAGCTCATGTGTGTTATCTGCTCCGCTCGCGGCCTTACCTCGACACCCGAAGGTGCCTGAGCTACAACGAGCTCACCACGCTGCCTGAGGGAATCTTCGGGGGTCTTACGGCCTTGGAAACGCTGTAAGTAGCTGTTCGACAAGGTTGTCGGTAGAATGTTTTCCCGCATCGGGCTAGGTTGCGATGGAGAACAACGAGGCAGACCAACCGTGCCCATGACTCATTTAAACCCCGACGAGCGCGCCGGAAAGCAGTTGGTAGGATGTTCGGTGTAGAACAGGTCGGGGGTGTCTGAGACCACCTCCAGCCCACGTACCATAGTCTCACTGCGGTTATGGCATCTACGCCCAACCGCTGCACTATCTCGGATGCTTGGGGTTGGATGGGCTTGTCTGTGAAACACACGGTTCGGTCAATTTCGATCTGAATGTGCATTCATTCGGCATTTTGGCCGGTACATTTATCGTACCATGTAAGCAGGTTTCGAGGTGATAAGAGAGAAAGAGGCGATCTTGGCGTTGCTGGAAACGTGAGCACCCAAGGATCGTACTAGGTGTCGGGATCAGTTGTCGCTTCCTGGCATTCGCCGTAGACCCCTTACATGGTGGTGCCCTGTTGGCCGCATATCCTAGCCTCTTATCCGATTCGCGGTGTACTCAATGCAACCCTGGAACGGGTCCCAGCTGCCAACTCGTCGCCTTCGCTGTAGCCGGAAGCAGGCATGATTGTTGTGATTGTACCCAGCTCATCGCGGCGGCCGCGGCGGTGGTAGCGCCACTGTACTGAAGGGCGTCCGTACATGCTGGTGGGCTGGCCGCGCTTCGTAGATTACCATGTGCGGTAGCAAGCACTGATTCCTAGCTCATGTGTGTTATCTGCTCCGCTCGTGGCCTTACCTCGACACCCGAAGGTACCTGAACATAAACGAGCTCACCACGCTGCCTGAGGGAATCTTCGGGGGTCTTACGGCCTTGCAAACACTGTAAGTAGCTGCTCGAAGAGGTTGTCGATAGAATGTTTTTCAACATCGGGCTAGGTTGCGATGGAGAACAAAAAGATGGCAGACCAATCGTACCCATGATCCATTATACCCCGACGAGCGCGCCGGAAAGTAGTTGGTAGGATGTTCGGTGTAGAACAGGTGGGGGGTGTCTGAGACCACCTCCATCCCACGTACCGTAGTCTCACTGCGGTTATGGCGTCTACGCCCAACCGCTGCACTATCTCGGATGCTTGGGGTTGGATGGGTTTATCTGTGAAACACACGGTTCGGTCGATTTCGATCTGAATGTGCGTTCATTCGGCATTTTGGCCGGTACATTTATCGTACCATGTAAGCAGGCTTTGAGGTGATAAGAGAGAAAGAGGCGATCTTGGCGTTGCTGGAAACGTGAGCACCCAAGGATCGTACTAGGTGTCGGGATCAGTTGTCGCTTCCTGGCATTCGCCGTAGACCCCTTACATGGTGGTGCCCTGTTGGCCGCATATCCTAGCCTCTTATCCGATTCGCGGTGTACTCAATGCAACCCTGGAACGGGTCCCAACTGCCAACTCGTCGCCTTCGCTGTAGCCGGAAGCAGGCATGATTGTTGTGGTTGTACCCAGCTCATCGCGGCGGCCGCGGCGTTGCTAGCGCCACTGTACTGAAGGGCGTCCGTACATGCTGGTGGGCTGACCGCGCTTCGCAGATTACCATGTGTGGTAGCAAGCACTGATTCCTAGCTCATGTGTGTTATCTGCTCCGCTTGTGACCTTCCCTCGACACCCGAAGGTACCTGTACCGCAACGAGCTCACCACGCTGCCTGAGGGCATCTTCGGGGGTCTTACGGCCTTGGAAACACTGTAAGTAGCTGCTCGAAGAGGTTGTCGGGAGAATGTTTTCCCGCATCGGGCTAGGTTGCGATGGAGAACAAAAACATGGCAGACCAGTCGTACCCATGACTCATTTAAACCCCGACGAGCGCGCCGGAAAGCAGTTGGTAGGNCGATTGTTGTGGTTGTACCCAGCTCACCGCGGCGGCCGCGGCGTTGCTAGCGCCACTGTACTGAAGGGCGTCCGTACATGCTGGTGGGCTGGCCGCGCTTCGTAGATCACCATGTGCGGTAGCAAGCACTGATTCCTAGCTCATGTGTGTTATCTGCTCCGCTCGTGGCCTTCCCTCGACACCCGAAGGTACCTGAACATAAACGAGCTCACCACGCTGCCTGAGGGAATCTTCGGGGGTCTTACGGCCTTGCAAACACTGTAAGTAGCTGCTCGAAGAGGTTGTCGGGAGAATGTTTTTCCGCATCGGGCTAGGTTGCGATGGAGAACAAAAACATGGCAGACCAATCGTGCCCATGACTCCTTCAAACGCCGACGAGCCCGCCTGAATGCAGTTTGTAGGAAGTTCGATGTAGAACAGGTCGGGGGTGTCTGAGACCACCTCCAGCCCACGTACCATAGTCTCACTGCGGTTATGGCATCTACGCCCAACCGCTGCACTATCTCGGATGCTTGGGGTTGGATGGGTTTGTCTGTGAAACACACGGTTCGGTCGATTTCGATGTGAATGTGCGTTCATTCGGCATTTTGGCCAGCACATTTATCGTACCATGTAAGCAGGCTTTGAGGTGATAAGAGAGAAAGAGGCGATCTTGGCGTTGCTGGAAACGTGAGCACCCAAGGATCGTACTACGTGTCGGGATCAGTTGTCGCTTCCTGGCATTCGCCATAGACCCCTTACATGGTGGTGCCCTGTTGGCCGCATATCCTAGCCTCTTATCCGATTCGCGGTGTACTCAATGCAACCCTGGAACCGGTTCCAGCTGCCAACTCGTCGCCTTCGCTGTAACGGGAAGAAAGCACGATTGTTGTGGTTGTACCCAGCTCGCCGCGGCGGCCGCGGCGTTGCTAGCGCCACTGTACTGAAGGACGTCCGTACATGCTGGTGGGCTGGCCGCGCTTCGTAGATCACCATGTGCGGTAGCAAGCACTGATTCCTAGCTCATGTGTGTTATCTGCTCCGCTCGTGGCCTTACCTCGACACCCGAAGGTACCTGAACATAAACGAGCTCACCACGCTGCCTGAGGGAATCTTCGGGGGTCTTACGGCCTTGCAAACACTGTAAGTAGCTGCTCGNACCTCGACACCCGAAGGGACCTGCTCTACAACGAGCTCACCACGCTGCCTGAGGGAATCTTCGGGGGTCTTACGGCCTTGGAAACACTGTAAGTAGCTGTTCGAAGAGGTTGTCGGGAGAATGTTTTCCCGCATCGGGCTAGGTTGCGATGGAGAACAAAAACATGGCAGACCAGTCGTACCCATGACTCATTTAAACCCCGACGAGCGCGCCGGAAAGCAGTTGGTAGGATGTTCGGTGTAGAACAGGTCGGGGGTGTCTGAGACCACCTCCATCCCACGTACCGTAGTCTCACTGCGGTTATGGCGTCTACGCCCAACCGCTGCACTATCGCGGATGCTTGGGGTTGGATGGGTTTGTCTGTGAAACACACGGTTCGGTCGATTTCGATCTGAATGTGCGTTCATTCGGCATTTTGGCCGGTACATTTATCGTACCATGTAAGCAGGTTTTGAGGTGATAAGAGAGAAAGAGGCGATCTTGGCGTTGCTGGAAACGTGAGCACCCAAGGATCGTACTAGGTGTCGGGATCAGTTGTCGCTTCCTGGCATTCGCCGTAGACCCCTTACATGGTGGTGCCCTGTTGGCCGCATATCCTAGCCTCTTATCCGATTCGCGGTGTACTCAATGCAACCCTGGAACCGGTTCCAGCTGCCAACTCGTCGCCTTCGCTGTAACGGGAAGAAAGCACGATTGTTGTGGTTGTACCCAGCTCGCCGCGGCGGCCGCGGCGTTGCTAGCGCCACTGTACTGAAGGACGTCCGTACATGCTGGTGGGCTGGCCGCGCTTCGTAGATCACCATGTGCGGTAGCAAGCACTGATTCCTAGCTCATGTGTGTTATCTGCTCCGCTCGTGGCCTTACCTCGACACCCGAAGGGACCTGCACCACAACGAGCTCACCACGCTGCCTGAGGGAATCTTCGGGGGTCTTACGGCCTTGCAAACACTGTAAGTAGCTGCTCGAAGAGGTTGTCGATAGAATGTTTTTCAACATCGGGCTAGGTTGCGATGGAGAACAAAAAGATGGCAGACCAACCGTGCCCATGATCCATTAAACCCCAACCGCTGCACTGTCTCGGATGCTTGGGGTTGGATAGGTTTGTCTGCCAAACAGGCGATTCGGTCAATTTCGATTTCAACGTGCGTTCATTCAGCAACTTTGCCGATACATCCATCGGATGAAAGCATATAGCTGGGGTGATCGAGAGTAGGAGGTCACCTCGACGCGGCGAGAAACGCGAGTTTTCAAGCATCGCAATACTTAGCGGGATTGGTTGTCGTTTCCGAGCGCCCATGGTAGACCTCTCACATGGGGAGGACCTCACTGCCCTTATATGTCCGCCTGCGCACTGATCTTTGGTTACGTGTTACGTGTGTATGTTGTCACTGTTTGTAGTGGGGCGTATGCCGATGTCGAACATGTGTTTGAGTGGTGCTGGGCAGTGCCATGGCACTAGCAGCGATATGTACTGTAGATGTCGGCGGGGTTTGGTTCTTTTTTATTTTCCTCCATGGTCTAGTGAGCCGTCACAGGTGGCATCCAGTGCCCCCCTGAACGAAAACTGGCAATGTGGCATCCTTTAGAAAACCACCGAACCATGAGACCCCACCCTCCGAAGAGTTCTCGCTGGTGCATCCTAAAATGCATTCCTCTCGAACGCCATCCCTGCCGGAGCTCCCGCGGGGTTCTTGTTCGCACATTTGGCGGGTGAGAAGGCGTTAATTAACATCCTAACAGCCGTTCCCCGTGGAGACATGTAAGAGTGCTTCGATTCACAAGGGCACAGCCGTATTCACATGCCCGGAGCCCGAGGCGGTGAGCCAGAGAGGCCAAGACACACGGGGCTCCGCAACTTTGAAACAATCAGATCACACATATATATACCCAACCCCCAGAGGCTACGTGTATCACACCGACCGCCGCGTACACGAAACAGTTGTTTTTCGGGCAATGGTTTCCTCTACCCTGCTGGGGTCGGGGCAACACCATCAAACAAAAAAAAAATGTCGTTTTGTCCTGAAATGTGCTCCAACGTGTGAGTAAATTGGACAAGCAACACTAACAACCCCCCTAAACACGCCAGTTTTGTATTCCTGGGAATGTTTAACCCCGTGAGCTCTTTATTCGAGGACGCGCTCGCTTCAAGCTTTTTTTCTCCGTGACATGTATTTATCACTGGGGGGGCCACTGCCGGGGGTGCTCAACTGATACAGCGGTTGTACGGCTTTCATTAGGCCGCTGTGTATGCACTCGGCTTGATCTATAATCGACTCCGCTTGTCCGAAAGAGGATTTGGCAGGTCATCAAGGGGCGGAAAATATTCCGTTGCTCCACCGAAGCATTCGAAACGTCGTCAGTGCACACTGAAAAATGGGAATTCATGGCTAACTTGTGGCTGCCTTGTTCCGCTGATGGCCTCCCCTTGGCACTCAATGGCGGCTGTCGAACAACAACCTCACCACGCTGCCGGAGGGAATCTTCCGGGATCTTACGGCCCTGGCATTACTTTAAGTAGCTGGGATGCTTTTCCGCATGCGCTCAGCCTGCGCTAGACAAAAGAAATCACCAAACATTTTCCCGGTTTGCAGAACTGCAGTCGGTGCATTCGTTCATGGTTTTCTTTGCAAGAGAGAAGGTGGATATCGAACGAGTGGTCGGTAGATGCTGGGGAGAGTACCACTGCCCTAGCAGCGCAACTGCTGGCGATTCTGCGAGAGTGTGCCTCTTTCAAATCAGCCCGCTTGCTCTAACCTTACGTCAAAGTTGATGGTAAGCAGCACACCTGGAAAGAGGGTAGCTGATGCAGTTCGGACGCCCTTCGGTTCTAAAATGATTGATCGTTGGCTCCGTTGGTTGAGGATGAACCTCTTACGAAGTTTCTCAACTTAACACTCTTGTCGCGTGCAGATACTGAACGGTCTACAGTAATCACACCTGTTTCGGCATTCTGTTGCTTTCGTGAATCTATAGACTATTCCGTCCGTAGTTGGGGGCTTCAGAGGCCAGGTAGTTCAACGTGCTGCGATCAACTGCTGCGAAAGACATTCATTTTGTGGTCCACATGATACTTCGCCGGGGCACTACATTCAGATTGTGTTGACCCTCGTCGTTGCAGCTTACGGCGTACGTGCTTGATACACTGAGGCCTGCCTGCTTTCGGCATGAGATCACACCCATACTTGTGTACTTTCCTTATCTCACGTGTATTTGGCATAATGGCTTCAACCTGCCGGTTCTCTGGTAGATCCTTTCCTGCTAACGAGAACACCTGCAAATCCAGGAGTTGTGGCTGTATTTCCCGCTTGTCGGGAAATGTAGACATGCATTGGCCCGAGGTAGCGGGCAATTATAGTCAGTTTCCCGACATGGCCCACCTTTTGGGTGCCCCGCTTACAACAAATCTCCTATCTCAAACCCCACCGGTTTCACTGGACGTTCTCGCTTTCCCTCGCGAGATTATGTTATATCTGTGGAGAAGTATATCGATTTCCTCCCAGGCAAGCGATGAGAATAGAGGAGTATCGTCCTATTCTTGAATTTCATTTTCGCTCTATCTGGAACACCATCGGCGCGGTGCTACGGCAATGATTTGTTGCTTTGTTCGGCGATGGCTCCTCACCAACTGTTCGTATCGTTAGTGGCCACCATGCTAACTTTGTTGTTCCTTCCCTAACGTATGATCCGTTGTTACATCTGCCGCTCTCGCCATGCGCCGGCAAATCTCGTTCGGGACCTGAATTTTAGGTACCTGGACGGGAACTCTCTCGAGTGCTTGCCCTCAAATGAACTGTGAGGACCGCTTGAAAAGCATGAATCTATCGCTTTGTAATACATATCAAGTGAAGAATATGGACCCTATCGCGTGTTTGCGGATCCGGCCAGCATCACGTAGATACCGAGCACACCTGTTGTTCGCTGCTGCTCGCGATATGGAACGAATGCGTGTTACTACAACAACCAATTGGTGTTGATGCAGTGACCCTAACCCTTGTGATACGTGATGCGAGAAGTATAGCATTTACTTGTCAGAACGTTGAACAGAAACGTGATTCGTCGAGCACTAAAATAGTCGAGCCGCTTGAGCTATCGCGTTGGCCATATTGCTCGGGCCCACAACTTGTTCTGATTTTGCACGCGTGGGCTCTTAGCACGTCTAAATAATGCATTGCATTGATACCCCGGTGGTCTAGTTGGTATCCTCGATACCTTCTAGAGGTCAGGTCAAGGGTTCAGATTCCGGCGTAAGCGAGCTTTTCTTGCAAAGTGAGTTTTTTTCTTGCTTCCGCTCCTGGCCTAGTGGATAGCGCTACTGTAGTTCGCCGTGTGTACACGGAGGGAAGAGAGTGCTGAACTCTCCTCGCGTGAAAATTGAAGGCAACGTACCGCAGGAGGGGAGGGTAGAGAGGGGCCCTTCTGTGTGACCACGCGTTGGAGTAAACGGCACTAGTGCTGTGCACGCTGATTTGAAGTGGAAAAAATATTACACTTCCGTTGAACCGTCAGAAAGCAGAGTTTTTCCCGGCATCCTCCTTGCTTGCTTTATCCATGTAGCATGTCCATTGATACATTGCATCGTAGATCGACCTCGCCTTATTTGCTTCGACTGTCTGTATAGCGAGACCTGTTTGACTTCCTGTGCGCACTTCGCAGGGTGGAAGTTGATGATGATGCCTCGGAATATGCAGACGGGCTCCACGTTGGTGCATACGGTGACGAATGTGGTGAGTGGCTCGCTGACAACGATGTACCGATGGGCTCGGGGGTCGATAGGTGCTCACCGGTACCATGTTGCTTTTGCTGCATCACAGTCTACCCCGCGAAGGTGTCGGGTCGATCAAGTGACTTTTTTTATGCGGGTGCCCAGGAGCAATTGCTTGGGATTTTGTGTTGCGCTCCATTTTCCAATCGAGGCATCCCACAGCGACTTTTCGTAGTGAGCGACACAGAGGTCCAGCGAAACATCGTTCGGCATCGCCCCTCGGCCCAGATACTGTGCATCGATCACTCGCTCGCTCGTGCATTCCAGATCGCTGTGAAGGGCGGACAGCCGTACCATCCCCAGACTACATTGTGAACGGAATGCATGGTATACCGGTCCACGATGGGTCTGTACATTGTTGAGTCGCCGCCATCGCTTGAAGTCACGACGATATGATCGAAAGGAGCTGCAGTACTGATTGGGCTCAAACCTCGCTGTTCCATACTACTTGACGGCTCTTACTCGGTGCAAAAGTGTAAAACTGTATCTCCAAACCTCTTCGCGAGACTGATCTCGAAGGTAACCATCGGGCGAAGGATGGAAGTAGGCATGCTCACTTTTGAGAAAGACTTTTTGCCATCGTCCTCCCTAAGCAGCACTAGGGCTTGTACCTTCATGTGCAATTTTCGCGATGCGCCCCCAAACACTGATGTTCTTCGAACGTTTCCAGGGTGTTCTATTGAGGGCGTGATCGACAACGTGTGCGGCCAAGAAGTGTGCACTCCCGGAGATGAAGGGTACACGTGTGGTGAGATAACACAGGCCCGCAAGGCAACTCTGTAGTAAATTATCGTTCAAGTTCATCCTCTTCATCGAGGGACTTGGGCAATCAACGAACTGATACTGTCCAACACCCATAGTCTAGATTCATCCACGACATCAGGTGCTTCCCGATGTCTAGGAACTAGATGCGACCTTGACTTAGCATGCCCAGGTTGCGCCAAGACGCCGTCTGCTACGAAAACAAAACTGTTGAGAGTTCAGCTGATGGCCTACGAAGGCAGTAGGCAGACATGCATCGTCATTTTCGATGTTTTGATCAACTCCTCTCGAGATCACCTCAACCGACTCCATACCCATTCATTACTGAAAATGACCTTCTCAAGCAGTTATTCTAACAAAACGGAGTAATTATTCTTCCAACTGGTTGAGTGCACGAAGCCGTACCACCAAGGGAAGGTAGTCTGTCATT